CCACCGGGGAGACAATAGGCCGACCGGGAATCCAATCTGAGAGCCACCAACAAGTTCATTCCTGTCCTTCTACACCACACAGTACGGATCTTCTCCACTTAGGTGGCCTGAGATGAACTGATCTGCTGGAAACAGGCTCGCAGGTTGCATACAGGTGATCTCGGTGGCATCACTTGTATGCAAATCACTTGTTCAAACCAAGTGGCGGCTTCCCCGCTGTACATTTAGGTCCACGTGCCCAAAGCCGGGCTAAATGTAGAAAAAAAACAACCCGCCCGGCGCCCAGAATTGCACGTCCCGGGTGTCGGGCTATAGGAATTCCACACCCCCGCTGCCCCTCTACTTCCTGCTGCCCTGAGGCCTTGTGGCAAATCCGGCCCTGCCTGTACCCTATGAGTCCTGAGCGGGGCCGGATTTACTCTCTCTGCTGCCCCAAGGCCCGGCTCCTCCACGTGCACCCCTCCCCGCGGGGCGGCAGGGTTTTTTACTTTATTATCATTTGTACAAAACAAATGGCCGGCTTCCCCGCTCTACATTTAGCTCTGCTTGCCCAACGCAGGACTAAATGTAGAAAACAACTACCCGCCAGGCGCCCAGAACTGCATGTCCCGTGCGTCGGGAGATAGGAATTCCACACCCCTGCTGCCCCTCTACTAACTGCTGCCCCAAGGCCGGGCCTTGGTTGGCCTTGTGGGAAATCAAGGCCCAGCCGGTACCCTATGAGTCCTGATTCTCCTATACATTCAATGCCAGCGCATCCCTTGTTGCTATGGGCTGCGTTGCTGCTTTTAGCGTTGGCTTGCTTTGTTAACCGTTGCCGCTCGCTGTCCTCTCGCTGCCTCCATCGGTCGCCCGCGCGCGTTTGTTTGCATGAAAACTCGCTTTGCATTCATAACCCTGCCTGTGATTCTCGCAGTGTAGTTCACAAGCTCCGTTCCTAGAAGAGATGTGCGCGCCGTTAAGAATCGGCGCAGTACTTAGAGTTCATGAATAGTATTAGAGGGGGCGGGGGATGGGTGCTGAATGCAAAGCGAGTTGTTAACATTACACCTCCGTAACAATGGAGATACATTTGTGTTCGGCACACGGAAGGCTGTTTGTGGCGGGTTATGATGTAAAAGAACAGGATTTGATCACAATTAGGGATGAGCCGAACACCCCCCTGTTCGGTTCGTATTCGAACATTCGAACGGCCGAAATGTTCAAATACGAACTCGAACTCAATGCAAGTGCATGGGGGTCGAATGTTCGACCCCCATACAGTTGCCGGTACATGTAATAAATACAGTGTACTGGCCCCCTTACCTCCGCTGCTGTAACGGCCTCCGGTCCCCTGGTCCATCCACTCGCTGTCCCGGCCTCCGGTCCCCTGGTCCGTCCACTCGCTGCCCCGGCCTCCGGTCCCCTGGTCCGTCCACTCGCTGTCCCGGCCTCCGGTCCCCTGGTCCGTCCGCTCGCTGTCCCGGCGGTCCGTTGGCTTCTCTCCTTCAGTCCGGCCGTGGCTCCTCTGCCCCGCCCCCCTGCCTCCACTTCATCTGCAGGCTGGGAGCCATACCCAGCCTGCTATTGGATATTGTAAAATGCAATAGCCAATAGCAAGCTGGCTATTGCACCCGCCTGCTGTCAATCAGCATGGGGGGACCTGATAGAGAACTTTCTCCTTCAGACCTCCTCCGCTGAGCCCCGATTGGGCATTTTGTATTATGGAATGTACGTGGTCGAACAGACCGCCAACATCCCATAAAGTTCGGCACTCATGTTCGAATCGAACACTCGGCCCATCCTTAATCACAATGTATATTTAGAATGTAGCCCCCATTACCTTCTGTGAGGTGACTACTAGACATTTAGTGGTAGCCGGGGCTGTAGTCGGCCTGGCTGGATTTGTAGTGGCAATTATCTGGTTAATCCCAGGTGTCTGGCATTGCCTGTACCCCCCTGGGCGGAGTGTGACTCTGTCATATTGTGGGACAGCCAATGGGAGACAATGTAATTTATGTACAGTACAGCAGCCAATCACTGGGTTTCTTTCAGCCATTGGTGCATGCTGGGATAGGATACATATATTGGTGGCAGCTGCCATGTGCTCAGACTAGCCGGGACCATCCATGGAATAGGGTTGGGTCCTGTTCAGCCTGCCCCCCCCAGGCTAGGCCTGAGGGTTGGCATGGGCTGGTGTGAGGGAAGAGGTTTCCCTGAGGCCTCCAACATGGAGGAGGCCTGTGATGCTGAAAGAGGAAGAGAACCGGGACCAGTGCATGCTCTTGAAGTGCCCTGGAACTAAGTGGACTTCATGAGCATGGTCGGTGTCTTTCCTGATGGAGGATCTGCATCCATCCTGACTGTCTGTTACATCAGTTGCTGTCCCCTAGACAGACTAGAAATGAACCGGCATCCAGCGGCTCCTTCGGGGGTAGCGCTACAAGAAGAAAAGGTTTCCTAGAAGCACCCGTATGTCATGTTGGGGTACAGTCCTAGGCCTGTTCTAGCCCGTCCAGAAAATGAAGCGAATGTGCTATATGTTCCCCAATTAACCACTTGAAGTCCGGGGTGTTACACCCCCTTCCTGTCCTGGCCATTTTTCAGTATTCGGCGCTGCGGTACTTTGACTGACATTTGTTCCGTCATACAACGCTGTACTGACATGACTTTTATATCATTTTTGGGGACCCCTTTCAGCTTTCTTTTGCCGGTATTTAATCACCACTGTTTTTTTTTTTTTTCTATTTCTCGTCGGGGTATCGTCAGGTACATAGACACCAAACATGTCAAACTTTAAAACTGTGTGCGCCCGCAAAATTAGCTGAGGTCAAACCAGAGACAGCAGAGATAAGGGCATGGTCGGGAACTTAGCTGAGGTCAAACCAGAGACAACAGAGATAAAGCCATGGTCAGGAACTTAGCTGAGGTCAAACCAGAGACAGCAGAGATAAAGCCATGGTCAGGAACTTAGCTGAGGTCAAACCAGAGACAGCAGAGACATGCCATGACTTAGCCAAGGTCAAACCAGAGACATTGGAGACAAGCCCTGATCAGGAACTTAGCTGAAGTAAAACCAGAGACAGCAGAGACAAGCCATGGTCAGGAACTTAGCCGAGGTCAAACTAGAGACAGCAGAGATAAGCCATGGTCAGGAACTTAGCTGAGGTCAAACCAGAGACAGTGGAGACAAGCCATGGTCAGGAACTTAGCTGAAGTCAAACTAGAGACAGCAAAGACAAGCCATGGTCAGGAACTTAGCTGAGGTCAAACCAGAGACAGCAGAGACAAGCTGTAGTGAGGAACTTAGCTGAGGTCAAACCAGAGACAGCAGAGGCAAGCCATGGTCAGGAACTTAGCTGAGGTCAAACCAGAGACAACAGAGAGAAGCCATGGTCAGGAACTTAGCCGAGGTCAAACTAGAGACAATAGAGACAAGCCATGGTCAGGAACTTAGCCAAGGTCAAACCAGAGACAGCAGAGACAAGCCATGGTAAGGAACTTAGCCAAGGTCAAACCAGAGACAAGCCATGGTCAGGAACTTAGCCAAGGTCAAACCAGAGACAGCAGAGACAAGCCATGGTCAGGAACTTAGCCGATGTCAAACCAGAGACAGCAGAGATAAGCCATGGTCAGGAACTTAGCTGAGGTCAAACCAGAGACAATAGAGACAAGCCATGGCCAGGAACTTAGCTGAGATCAAACCAGAGACAGCAGAGACAAGTCATGGTCAGGAACTTAGCTGAGGTCAAACCAGAGACAATAGAGACAAGCCATGGCCAGGAACTTAGCTGAGGTCAAACCAGAGATAACAGAGAGAAGCCATGTTCAGGAACTTAGCTGAGGTCAAAGCAGAGACAGCAGAGGCAAGTAATGGTCAGGAACTTAGCTGAGATCAAACCAGAGACAGCAGAGACAAGTCATGGTCAGGAACTTAGCTGAGGTCAAACCAGAGGCAGCAGAGACAAGCCATGGTCAGGAACTTAGCTGAGGTCAAACCAGAGACAACATAGACAAGCCATGGTCAGGAACTTAGCCAAGGTCAAACCAGAGACAATAGAAACAAGCCATGGTCAGGAACTTAGCTGAGGTCAAACCAGAGACAGCAGAGACAAGCCATGGTCAGCAACTTATACGCCTGCGCAGAAGCAACAAGATGTAAATGACCCTTTGACCCTTGTCCTGCATATTTACGCATGTGCACGTGATCCAGTCCTGACAGTTGGGTTACGGCTTCTGCCAGCTGCTGTTGAGCATGTTCCAGTAGTGTGTACCTGAAGAGTTAACTTCCGAAGATTGAATATATATCAGTGCAGCAAGTCACTGAGACGCTTGTCCTGGCAGTGCAAGCTGAGGAGGTAATAAATATGGAGGACAACCTTCCTAAGAGTGTTCTGCATTCCCCCGAGGTCCTTCCTATGTGAACGGCGTACTGATTTCTCTCTTTCCTGCCCAGGAGGGTTGCGTGTTGGAGGAGTCTCCACTCCCGGGGGACGGCTACAAGATGCTCAACTGCTAAAGGTTAAAAACTACTTATAGTACAGCTGTGCCCAGGCGACGGTCCTCAAAATATTGTTTCTTTTATTGTGAAATAAATGTATCTCTTCCAATCACAAATTCTCACGCGCTATCATTGCCATCGAATCGGCATCGGGAAATGTTCTTTTCAGAGAACGTATCCTTATACCAACTCATTGACTTTCTCCTCCATCCTGGAGCTAAGTCCACTCCACACTGTATCCCTCCCTGGTTCTCTTCCTGGTTTCAGGTCACTGGGCTCACATGACCACCTTCAGCCAATCATAGCACTCTGTAAGAGAGCAGAGATGCCAGAAAAATGGGTGTCTCTGCGGCCCAAAGGCCAGGTTCCTCAATGCACCCCCCCCC